ACAAATAATGCAGACAGCGCACCGGAAGAAAGCTCCGCCCATAAAAGTGGCAGTACATTAGTTTTGAATTTCTCCTCCAATAAACGATCGAGGCTCTCAACTTAGTTTTGTACTTCAATTTGCGTCACATGTTATTTCAGTGACAGGGCGCACACAGTGCACAGCACTGTAAAGAACGTTATTTTGCAGAACCAGCTGACCGACTGATCATGACAGAATTATTGATCAAAGTGTATTCATTATTCCTGCTATGGAAATATCCGTATCACGTCGATGTATATAACTGAAAACTGCCTGCAACAAATGTCCTATAAAAACTTCATCCAGTATATCAATAATGAAATTGAATACATAAGTAGTTCTCGACGATGAGAACCAAAAGGTTGATGTGCCACCAAATAATCGCTTTAAAAAGTTTATCACTGACAACACACAATCACACGTCAGGGGAGGGTTGCCGCCGTACACAAGTAGTTTTTATCGAATTTCCCGTCCGTAAATGCGCAGTCTCAATGTTTTATAATATTCGACATAGTCTATAACGTTGTCAGTTTCCTGGCAGCATACTCTCGGTGGTAACAAACCGTTTGACGATATTATAAGCTGTCTGCTTTGAAACACCATTTTGATCTCTAATCTCTGCAAATGACAGTCCACAAAAATACAAATCGACAACTCTTGTTCTCACTTCAACTGGTTTTTTGACTCCTTGCTTCTCCATCGTTGTGCTTAAACAACTTGGACAAATGCCGATTTGTAGTCGCAAACTACACGATGACCGACCAAAAGTGAATGAAAGACAGGCGCGCCTCAAAGTCTAGGTGTACCTGACTTTGTAGCAAAAATATGTGTATATTTCTAGTTACAACTTCTGTAAATTTGAAAACAAAGTGTGTAACCTACTGTAGTAAGTTATCAACATCTAGCACTACTTCAGCATCAAATCAGTGCCTGGAATTTTGTAATTTGTTGGAAACAGTCACCAAAGAAAGTTTAAGCCCCGAGTGTTAAAATTATATTAAATATTGATAAAAACTTTTTTAATTTTTAATACTTTTATTTCAGGGTCCATAGCACAAAGAGCCAAATGATTTCCAAGACTTTTCCAGACCTTTTCCCAAACCTTCTTGCATTTTTCCAATACATTTTGACCCTTAATTCAGGCCAACATGTTACATCATCACCAAACGTTCTGAGGATATGGTAGTTCTGAAGAAAATGGGCCTTTTTAAAATAAATTAATAATAACTATGAAGAAATTTAAAGACTTTTCAAAGATTTGTTTATTTTTCCTGTAATTTAAAGACAACTCAAAGACTTTCCAGACCTCAAAAAATCCAAACACTGTCAAAGAATTTTCCAAACACTATGGACCCTGTATGTCAATGAATATATCAGACTTTTCAATACTTTTTTTTTCAATTTCCATTACTTAAATATAATATTAAAAGTAATATTTTTCATAACAGTGTTATGAAAAAATGACATCCAAAGTGGTTCCAAATCAGGCATGCCATATCGCAAACATCCCTGTGTTTCCCATTAGTTTACCTTAGCGTAAAGAGACACAAATAAATAAATGTGAACATGCTAAAAATGTGAACTTCAATAAATGAGCAAAGAGCACTTACCCCGCAAGCTGCCCCTGACTTATAGTACTACAAGCTCTGCCATCTTTGGATTCCTCATCTTCTTCTATAAGAGCATATGGATTATGCGGCAAATCTGTACAGACATATACACTGATAAATAGTCAATTTATGAATGGTTGAGCAAACTATAGTAGCACCACCTAGTGTTAAAACTAAATCAAGCAGTACCGGTAGTTCCACAGAAAGCCAATGTAAGCAAGACTAGTGATGGTACATTGTAGTGGGAGGATTTCTAGACATTTTGGCCCTGGTAAAAAAAAAAAGACATTACGTCCTGGTTTGGACATATACATGTATTTGTTGTGCGTTCAATATATTAACACCAGATATGAACACATATCAAATATAATTTATACCAGGCAGGGTCGCAACGACCAACCTGTTTTGGGGCTGTAATAGCGAAACCAGAGCCGTAACATATTTTATTTACCAGGATCATGAACGACCAGGGCCTAATAGACCTGACACCAGTGGGAATTCTGGAGATTTGTACTTTAATAGTATACTCGCTCTATGTACAAGTCTGTGAATTTGGGGGTTCTCGTTTCCATTGGGACCGCACCAGCAGTAACATGCCAGTAATAACATATTGGTTGTTATCAAACTATAATTATAAAAGCCGTATGTAGCTCGGGAGAAAGGGAGAGGGGTTACTGGACTAAAAAGTGGATATTACTTCAAATAAGCTCTACAAATCCCCCCAAAGGAGGAATAATAATTGAATGTGAACAAAATTAGAAGGTATTTTTGTTTTCAGGACCAGAACTACATATCTAGATGCTTAATGTGCGCCGTAGTAAAGTCTACTGTACCAACGCTCGTGGTGGGTAAGTAAACTGTTGTTGACAACTTCCGATAACACAGGTGGCACTGACAGGCACTGAGACCGTTAACTTACTTAACTGTGTTACTTCTTTGTTTTCATCAAACTCATACGGATATCTGAACAGCAGTCGCTCTCCTCTCGAACCCGATGATACCAAAATTACTGCAATAGGGCTACATTTGGACATGTTTAAAAAAAGCTTACGCTCAAACGATCGTCCTCACATGGGCGCCGCCATATTGGAACCAGGAGAGCCAATCACAAGGTCGTAGTAGTATGACCCACAGTGCTTTGCTAGAAAGTTCACCAAAGTTCAGACGTAGCGCCAACAGTCACGTGCAATTCCTCCGGTCAAGTTGCCCCATTTTTATTGGAGAGTCTCTATAAACTCACGGCATACATTTTGAAGAGAAGGAATCCAAAACTGTACACCGTTATGGCTTTAAATTGCCCTGTAATGTACTCTCCAACATACAACATGCTGCAGAGAACAATGTACTAGCTATATGATGACCGGCATTATACTTTTTCACATAAAACAGAAGAGACAGCAGTTACATTGAGTGTCGGAAAGTTTCGCCTCAACAAATTTAACAAAATGGTCGTTCCTCGGCATTCGCCCTAAATGTATCTCAAAATATTGTTAAAATTATGCAATTAGTTTTGCAACGATATTCACCATGAACAAATATTATTTTATAAATAACTTCACCAAAATCATCGCCGTATTTTCCATTGTTATCCATCCTACTTTTCCTTTTTAGAAGCAATTTTCGTTCAATAGAGTTTGTAACCATACAATTTCATCTGAGATGTGCAAACATGCTATGTTATAAACACGAGCGGAATCTAACGACCCAGTTTATAACGTCTCCAGCCGCTGCATGCCAGTAGTATTGCGCCGTTTACGTTGTTCAATAACACGAATCAGACAGGCATCGATCATTCACTCGGTATCCTTTGATTGCTCCGTTGCCTAGCGTGATTTCTTGCTACCGCTATTCAGAGTCGCCATAATAAACATCAGATGAGTAGTCACTGGGTGATTGACTAACAACAGGGAAATCGATCACCGTTCCATGGACTAACATACATGGAGACGACCATATTCTGGGTTTTGAAAACCTACTGTTTATAACCATTTTCTTTGAGATTTTGACTATTATCTGGTCAGTGTAAATGATCACCGACGAAAACCCATATTTGTAAATTTCACCGATGGATTATTTTCAAATGACGTTATTGCGCGCATTGATTGGCTGGTTGGATTCGACTTCCATTGAAATGTGTAAATATTGATAAAAAATCAAAGGAGTGGGTTTGTAGTCGCGATCTTAAACAGCTCACTGCATACTTCATGGAAGTCCGGGATAGAAGTAGCATTTCTCAGTAGAGAGATTGAAATGGGACGGGTGGAGTACACACTTTTTTGCACGTGAGGGTGGGGCTTATATAACCGAGGCGCAATGAAATGTTAGAGTTTAGTGATACCAAACTTCAATTTAAATATATGATTTGGCTTTTTCGTGTTCGTTTGACGAGTTTCGGAACATTCGTGTATTTCGAGTTATGATCATGATGAAATGTAACGCACTGTCAAGTTCACCTTGTAGCTACTTGTTCTAATACCAAAACGTACACAACATTATATGCGATAAGTGTTATCAGCGTTGCGATTATCCTGCGCCGTATACCTGTCGATATCGTTTCTAAAGTTCACGCTTATTGCCCCTGGCAACGTTGGAGGCGGATGGGATGGGCTTTATGACTTTTTTTATTCGCGCGAAAAACAACACCAGTCAACATCACCGAAACGTGCATGTCAATGAGCGGTGGTGAATGATTATAAGTATGACTGAGTAGACGCGACCTCTTTGAAAAAAAAAAATCAAACAAAGTCTGTCGTAATGTGAACTTCATATTTGAAGTTGGAGTTTGGAGGTTAAACTACTTTACTCGATTGATTAGCTGGAAAGGTGTAGTATATATAGTATACATTAATTATATTAAAAGTACACGATACCGCCAGCTACGCAGATTATAAGACGATGGGCTGTGATCGCAAAACTGTTGTAATGGTGTATTACTTTCTCATCAATGCATGACTGCTTGCTGTATGTTGAATCAGAGTGTCTATTATATTATGAAATTATATATTATAATACGGTATATTAAACTAGATGTTCTACTAGCACAGATCCAGACATCAGCGTGGCGCCAATAGTGGTTCCATTGATATAATGAAAGAAATTGAACTAAGCCAATAATCACTGAATAATATAATGAAGACAGTTTCAACAACAACAAAACTGACAATATAATTCTGTAATGTATCGTTCATCGTCGGCGACATCGCGAAATATAGATTGTTTGTGTATTAAAGTTAGAGACTTGTCGATAGACGGTCGTGGGCGTACACTGGTTTCTCGTTATCGGAGCGCAGATACCAGTATTTGGGATGTTTCGGCTACATGAGATTGTACCAAATACTCTGTAATGACTCTGGCACTAAGAATGTCAAGGTTAAGTATAAACCGATGTCTTAAATGAATTAAAATATATCCCACATTATGTGAAAAACCGTTGTTTTGATTTGATTTGATTTCGGGATCGGCAGCTTATCGTAACACATACACCCAAAATGTGTTTTGTATTTCTACCTTCTGTTGCCGGGCACAATCGGCATCCACTTCACTCATGTGCATATCAAAGCTATTGTGTTATCGGGGTTGTTTATTCCCAGTGAGAAATCGACGATTCATTAGGTGTGCAGACAGGTTACAGACTGCGGAGAGGTTAAAAGGTCAGGCTGTATATATATTATTGATGAAGTACGAGTAAATAATTTCAGCATTTATTACAGAAATTATAAAATTGATATAATGCTCGAAAATCGTTAAAAAGCATAGTTCAAGCCAAAAAATTCGTTAATTCTAACAGAAAAATGTCCCAATAAGGAACCATAGTATAAAAAGTGGCACACATTTTTCACAAATTGTCCAAAAAAGGGTATCCTTTTTCACATTTTGGCTGTCTTGAAAGGACCTGGAAATGCTAGGAAGTACTAGTAGTATCTTTCCATTGTTGTCCATTATTCAGTTGGGGCGTAAGTGCAGACACAATTATGCAATATGTTTTATCTAGCGCGTCATATTGCGTCATACGCATTTCATGATTTGTGTAATTTGTTTCAGTTTGGGTGTACCTACATATGCGAGCAATCTTTGTTCTCCTCATATTTTACTATTCTACGGTGGCTTGTTAGGGCCATGCACTGTTTTTCGAATTTCTCACATTTTCACCTGTATTTTTCGGGTTCATTTCGAATTTCCGACAATTTCACTTTAATTTACACCTCGGTGGAAATATTCAAATCGCGATGGAAATATTATCACCGCGGAGAAAATTATTCTCACCGCGGTTTAAATGCTGTAAAACATGTTGAAAAAGCGGCATGCAATTTTAGCGAATTGTGGTAAAATGACGTAATAGCGAAATGTTGATTTAGCAAATCTCACTTGTCATTGTTGATTTCTTTGTTTGGCGGCCATTTTGAATTTATAATAAAGTCATTAGCGACATCTTGAATTAGCGAATCAATTCTCTGGCTAAACTCGCAAAAAAGACATGCTCGCGAAAAAGATATGTTTTACAGTATTTCCATCTCGGATAAAAATATTCTCACCGCGGTTCAAATTTTCCACCGAGGTGTAAATTAAAGTGAAATTGTCGGAAATTCGAAATGAACCCGAAAAATACAGCTAAAAAACAGTGAATGGCCCTAACCGTACTACTCAGTAGTATTTTCGATATAAGTATCTTTTCTAACATTCCTCATACACCATATTTTGTTTCTCGATAATCCTAACCTGTACAATGAACATAAATAATCTTTCAAACTTAATACCATTATCGTACATTTCCTCGAAAAAATAAACACAATATGTTGTATCGTAACTCTTTATTGCGGATGGCATTGTCGTACCCATCAATATGAACAATATATATTGACAAATATTACGCATATTTGTTTTATTCGGAAAACCTCCATTTTGAAAAACCTGTTACCTGTCAATTAGAAACACACACAAATTAAGTTCTTCTTCTTTCAAAAAAATTGTATGATGAAGTAAAACAAATAAGTAAAAACAAATTGATTGACATATCTGCATTTTGAAGAAAAAAAATCCGGCATTGGAATAATTTCTGCTTGACATTGACTGCCTGGAATTGAATCGATGGTTGGATGTTTGAAAGGACTAGTTCAACTCGTGCCATTTGTGATATATTTGTACTCACAACCACATGAATGTAGCAGTGCACAACAAGAAAATTTGAGTCAAGCAAGATTTCCCCCTCGATGACGCCAAAACTGTGCAAAATATTTGAAGCAAGGAACAGAGATAACCATTTCAATGTCGTCACAGACTATGTATACACATATTGCATTTCATAAAGTGTTTAACCATGATTTTCATCATTCATCATCTTCGTCTTTGTCTGTAGACAATAGCAACATCGCATCCGATTCATTCTCCTCCTCAACGAGTTGCCTAGAAACAAGAGGAATCTTTCCATCTCCAAGTGATGGAAAAGTTACCGACTTTTTTGCTCCATCTTTTTTCCCATTCGTAGCACCATTGTTGTTTGGGGAGTTGCCATGACGTTGTTTCGTCAGAGGAAGCTTTGGTTCCGATTTCTGAATATCTATGTTCTTAGCGGCAATCTTCTTCCTCAAGTCGGCCCAGCGTCCACGACCTTTTCGAACTGCAAGATAGGATGAAACCGTGAATATGATAAATACAAAAACAATAAACAGTATTTCAAATCAGTGAATTAATAATAAATATAGAGTTATTTTAATATTCCCAAGTTATCATAATTTTAAATTCCAATGTGATTCATTAAGTTACAATCATAATGAAATATTGCCCCCCGGGAGTCGCATATATCATCGTGGCAGTTCAATGCACGTCTTTCTCTTTGTGTTTATTTTTCAGTTCAGTTCTAAGAAAATTGTTATTTCCGTCTAACTTTAATTCAGAGATCTCTTTGTTTTTTACTCGTGTCTGCAGGTTTCAATTACGAATAACACATTTGGATTGTATTGAAGTTCTGCGCCATTATTTGTATATCAGCTTTAATGAATTTGAAGGTATGATGAATTCTCTTGGGTGCGATGCCCAACTATTGAAGTTAAGTCAAGGCATATATGCAAGGCAGCATTTGATACGTCGAA